CACATGCACCAGCAAGAAGTGTCCCCTTGCTTTGCCCCACAGCCTGATCTTCAAGACAAGTCACTGAAGCCCTTGAAGAGTAACATCTTAGTTTTGTCTAAGATGCGTATTTCTGTTAGATCATGGACAGTTTAACCTCCCTTTACAGCAAAATAGGGTAGCTCAAGTGACCTGCTGTGTGTTCTGCCTGCAAGAGCTGGTCTTTTGGTATCTTGTGAAAGTAATTACTAAAAAAGACAGCACGTTTAGGTACAATTTTAAACATTTCCTTTAACTGCTTAGTTGGCACTCTGGGTGTTGTAAAAACATCTCATTTACAGATGCTGTTAGAATACCATGCCATTTTTCAAAGCATTAACATTGCTAGATGGACCATTGTTATAGCCAAAATGCAGGTTTTGTTGTCTCATAGCACTGAAAGAGGAAAAACCAAAAGAGGAATCAGTGCAGGGAATATCTGGGTGAATTATTTTAGTCTTCCTCTGACTCTGCCCCCTTTTTTCTTAGATGTTAACCCCAACCCTTCCCCCGCAAGAGAAAGTCATCAGGGTAATTTTAAAGCTTTTTTTCTCAACAGATAATAGTGTGGAACCACACAAATTATTCTCTACTTGTCATATATACTGGATTATCATCTAAATCATATTATAAAGCAGCATGAAGAAGCAGGCAGTTGTGTGTTACCCTCCTTACTGCTTAGCTCAGCTGAGCTGTTGTGGGGAACATATTTGCAAGGCAGGGGTCTTGTCATTTTAAAAGGGAGAGGGCTGGGTTGTCCTTCATAAGTAGTCACTGACAGCTGGGACAAGGAAAAAAGCTGAAGACTAGAGAGTATTTTGTTTTGTTATTTGCATTTGGTTGTGAAATTGAATACTTCTAATGAGTTTGAGTCATCAGTTCATTGCAATTAGTACAACACAGTTTATGTTGGAATTTGTATGCTTTTTGCTTGGTCATGTTTCCTTCAGTATGTACAGTTCTGTGCAATCCATAGACAAGGAGAATTTAGGAGTGTTTTTTAACCTTGCTATATGCTTTCTTCGTTAGTAGGCAGTAATGTTACGGTTTTCTTGAAAATATTGAAATACAGTGGTGGACAAGTTCCTCAATGTGTTCCTTTATTAAAATGCCCATCTTTTTTATATCAAAAAAATCACCCTCATTCACCTTCCTGTCAGTGCTGTAGTGAATAAAGGCTTCCCGTTAGGATAATTGCCATCTCTTTATTTACTCTGTTGCATTGGTTTTTGAGCCTGAAGCTACCTAGTAAATCACGGGATCCTACTGTGAGAAAGACAGTCCTATTTTAACAAATTCGTCCTGCTGGGTTTTTTTTAAGGGTTACTTCTACTATAATTGCACTTTTAAGAGCTTTTTATGGTTTATTCCTCTCATGATGTAATTTACCTATAAACTTTTCTGTTTTGTTTAAGCTAACATACATTATTTCCATGGTGCTTCTAAAGTGCAGAAGTATTTGTTACGGTTGTACTAATCTAGAGTTTCTGAGAATATAAAAGAGAATTTTCTGATTTTCTTAGCAGGAGCCAGCTTGTATATTGTTTTATATGTTTATGTATCTAGAGATGTGGATGTATAAGCTTGTGTGCACATATCATATGCTATCGGGTTTCATTATGTTGTAACGCAAGTATATACAGCAGAAAGGAGCAAAGGGTTGAAGCGTTTTGGACAAAAGGGTTAATACCATACCTTAATGAGCATGGATGCTGCCATGTGGTATCATTTGTGAGCTCTGAGGTGGCTGACCATTTCCATTTTGGTGTAAATCCCTTGAGAGGGAAGGCATTTCAGAGCGGGGTGTGATCTGTTCTCCTGGTAAGAGTGATTGACAAGGAATGAATAAATAGTTAAAAGAACTGGATAAATACCACCCTCCTGTTTAAGTCCAGGCACACCCCGGCTGGCACATATATATTCTAATGCGACACTTTAGCCAGATGCTTGAGTTGGTTGCTAACAAAAAACATTCCTGAAAAGCCAAATCGTAGCTTAATCACAACTGCTTCTGATAGTTTTCTTTTGTGGTGACATTTTAGTGGTGATGTGAATAAATGCAGGGAATTACAATATTTTGCAAGTAGGATGTATTGATAAATATATATGCAAAAGGTGGCGGAGGCCTCTGGAGTGGAAGCAGGGGCCCTGACAGCAGGTTCTTGGTCAATTGGTGAGGTGAAATGGTTCGATGAATTGGATAACACAGTGCATACCATAGTGACTGATTAAATTGATTTGTCCATGGCTACCGCCTACCCCGCTACTGAGGCCCTTTAATCTATTTTCAAACTTTTTTCTTTTTTAAACCACTCTGC